GAGGGACAAGCGAGGACAGAGGGACAGTGAGGGACACAGTGAGGGGACAAGTGAGGGCAGTGAGGGGACAGTGAGGGACAGCGCTGGACAGGGAGGGACACGAGGGACAGTGAGGGGACAGCGAGGGACCAAGCAGAGGGGGCATCGAGGGGACAGCGAGGGGCAGCAGCGGGGCGGAGGGACAAGCGAGGGACAAGCGAGGGGAGCAAGCGAGGGGAGCACTAGGGACAGCGAGGGACAGCGAGGGACAGGTGTGCGGGGCATGGAGGGACAAGCGGGGACGCGAGGGACAAGCGAGGGACAGTGAGGGACAGTGAGGGACAAGCGGAAAGGGACAGTGAGGGAACAGTGAGGGGCAGTTAGGGACACAGCGAGGGACACAGCGAGGGACAGTGAGGGGCAGCAAGGGGCAGCGAGGGGCAAGCGAGGGGCAGTGAGGGGCCGTGAGGGACCGTGAGGGGCAGTGAGGGGCAGTGAGGGACAGTGATGGGCAGTGAGGGGTGCTGGGGATGTGGGGACTGTGGGGCTATGCGGTGCAATGGGCATGGTGTGAGGTACATGGGGACAAACGTGGGCACTGCGTGGGGACAGCATGGGGCACATGGGGTGCATGGGCATGGTGGTGGGACGCGTTGGGACAGCGCATGGGGCATGTGGGGTCATGCAGGCACGTGGGGCGTGTGGTCGTGTGGGGCATGTGGGGGTGTGGGAGTGTGTGGGGGCACAGTGTGGAACACATGGACACGGCATGGGGGTGTGGGGGGCAATGTGGGGTGTGTGGGGCACAGTGTGGAACACGTGGACACGGCATGGGGTATGTGGGGCATGTGGGGTGTGTAGGGCACAGTGTGGAACACGTGGACACGGCAGGGGGTATGTGGGGCATGTGGGGCGTGTGGGGCACAGTGTGGAACACGTGGACACGGCATGGGGTATGTGGGGCATGTGGGGTGTGTGGGGCACAGTGTGGAACACGTGGACACGGCATGGGGTGTGGGGGCAATGTGTGGTGTGTGGGGGCACAGTGTGGAACACGTGGACACGGCATGGGGTGCGTGGGGCGTGTGGGGCGTGTGGCGCGTGGGCACATAGGGCGGCCCACCTTGAAGAGCGTGACGGTGGCGCTGTAGCATACGCTGAGCAGGAAGAGGGTGATGAAGATGGAGATGGTGGTCCACAGCCCGTCCAGCTCCCCGTCCTGGGCCTCGGCACAGCTCTCATCCAGGAACAGCTCTGCACAGGGAGGGGGGTCAGTATGGGGTCGTGGGGGCTGGCGGCTTGGGGCTGGCACAGGGGTTCTCTGTGAACAGGGGGGGGGGCCTGGCCAGGTAGGGCCCATGGTGCCCGGCTCCCCCGTCCTCTGCCTCAAGCCCCGGTCTTAGCTTGGCTGGGGTGCCCTCTCCTCTCTGCCACCTGCACGGGGCCCTGGGGGACAAGGTGGGCTGACCCTCAATCCAGCCTGCTCTCTCGTCCACCACCCCCTCTGCCTGCTCCCCCTGAGGTCAAGGGCAGGAGGGCCCTGCCTGGGAAGGGCCAGCGCCAGGTCTGAGTGGGAGTGCAGGAAAGTGGGTGGGCCCGAGGCTGGCCTGGGTGCCTGGGGAGGACTTCTGTGTGTGGGGAGGGTGTGGGTGCCTGGGGAGGGGGAAGGGTGCCTGAGCCGGTCAGTGACCACTGGGGCATTGGGTGGGGGCAGGCTGGTTTCCATGGTGGGGGTTCCCAGGACTCGCTCTGTTCTCTGGTCTGGGCCTGTGCAGGGTGCCTTGTGGGAGGCCTGCAGTGTAAGGCCTGTCTCTGTGTGCATACATGTGTACACACATGCGGTCATGCCTGTGTGTTCATGTGTGTATGTCTGAGTGTTCGTGTGTGCATGCACGCGTACGTGTGTGTGTGTGTGTGTGTGTGTGTGTGTGTGTGTGTGTGTGTGTGAAGGTGGCCATGTGAGCTGGTGCTGGTCTGGGGAGTGCCTTGTTTTCCACGGGTCGGGCTCAGTGTCCCTGTGGCCTCTGACAGTCCCTCCCCCGAACCCCAGGACTGCCCGCCTCTGCCTCTTTGGGGCAATTAGGTGTGTATCTTCCTGAGCGGACAGGCCTGGCCCCAGGTGGGAGATGGCCCACAGAGCCCCCTTGCCTGATGGAGGGTATGAGGCTTGGTCTCGAGGGCATGGAGGGCCTGTCCCACACCACGGGCCAGTGTGCACCTGTGCGGGCCCAGAGCCACGTCCAGGAGCCCTGGGGACCAGTGGGCAAGGCACTCGGAGACCAGGCACTGCCCACAGCGGGGCTTGCTCAGAGGCGGGCACCCTCCTGGGCCCTCCTGTCCCTGAGGGGCATCTCCTGCCCCTGTCCACATTTCCTGACCGAGTCCTTGCCGGCCGTGGGGAAGCTGTCCTGCCCTGACGCCTGCAGACCCACAGGCTCTGGGTCGCGCCCTAGCGGTGCCGACCAGCCTCCGAGCCAGCCTGACCTCCACCCCGGAAAGAACCACGACAGTGTCGCAGGGTCCCAGGGCCGTGCTGGGTGCTTTATTGAATGCTGGGTGCCGAGGGTATGTACATGGGGGGTCGCCGGGCGCCGGGCGCTGCTCATTTACCCGGGTTCCAGGAGACGGTCTTCTGGGCGTAGTGGTTGTGCAGGCCCTCGTGCATCACCTCGCACGTGAAGGGGGCCCCCCGCTGCCACCGGGCCTTGTCCACGGTGAGCTTGCTGTACAGGAAGAAGGAGCCCTCCTGGTCCTTCTGGGGCGGGGTCGAGGAGTACTTGGTCTCGGACTCTGGCTGCCCGTTGCTCTGCCACTCCACGCTGATGTCCGGCGGGAAGAAGTCTTTGACCAGGCAGGTCACGCTGACCTTGTCCCTGGCCAACTCGTCCGAGTGTGGACCCAGGACGTACACCTGCGGCGCCTGGACTTGCCCTGTGGGATGAGGTCAGCACAGACGGTCACTCCCAGGTGGAGGGCTGGCCCCCCGCCCCAGCCCCGGGCCCACCTGTCTGCTCCCCACCTATGGCCTTGGAGATGGTCCTCTCGATGGGGGAGGGGATGGCCTTGTTGTTGACCTTGCACTTGAACTTCTTGCCCTTCAGCCAGTCCTGGTGCGTGATGGCGTAGGAGTGGACCACACGGTAGGTGCTGTTGAACTGCTCCTGCTCCGCCTTCACCGTCTTCTTGGTCATCTGGTTGCCGTCCATGTACCAGGTGAACTCGACATCCAGGTCATCTGGGGCCACGTCCACCACCATGCACGTGACCTCGGGCGTCCGGGAGATCATGAGGGTGTCCTTGGGTTTCGGGGGGAAGATGAAGACCGAGGGCCCTCCCGGGTTCTCACAAGCTGGGGGGAGACAGTGGCCAGGGGTCAGCCCTCGGCAGGCCTTCCCTGGGCAGGCACTCCCCGTGGGCCTCCTCCTGGGGTGGATACTCACGTGGGCATGTGTGAGGCGGGCAAGAGGTGGGGGGAGGTCCGACAGTTAAGGGCACTGCAGAGAGAGCAGGCTGAGGGTTACCGGGGCCCCGCAGGGCACGGCCCTGGGCAGGGGCTTAGGTCAGGGCCAGAGTTTGTCAGGTCTGAGTCCAGCACCCGCCTCTGTGGCTCCAGAGCCTGTGCCCACCCTGGGCCTGGTGGTGATACCAAGAGGACCCCACCCCAGCTTGGGGAGACCGTCTGCACTCCCGCCACTGCCCTGGGCTGGGGCAGGCATCCCTGCTCTGTGGTTTGTCTCTAGCAGATGTCTCTCCGTGGCATGTGCTCACCGATCTTGTCCACCTTGGTGCTGCTGGCCGGGTGGGCTACGTTGCAGATGAAGGTCTGGGTGGACGAGCTGGCGGGCACCGTCACCATGCTGCTCATAGAGTAGAGGCCCGAGCGGAGGACGGATGGGAAGGTGTGCACGCCGCTGGTCAGGGAGCCCGAGTTCCAGGTCACAGTCACGGGCTCCGGGAAGTAGCCAGAGACCAGGCAGCCCAGGGACACCGTGGAGCTGGATGTGGTGCCACACTTGGGGGACAGTGGGAAGACCGACGGGGCCGTGGTGGAGGCTGTAAGAGATGGGTCACGTGACTGCCAGGTCTCACCCTACCAAAGCCTGGGCAGGGCATCGGGGGCCCAGGCCCAGGACAGCGCTGAGCCCCGTGCCCGTGGCCCATGGGCTCCCAGAAGCCTGAAGACCCAGGAGCCTGCAGACCGGCTACCCCGTGTGTGTCTGCCACCCAGGGCCTCCCACCTCTGAGCCATGGGCGTCAGGCCCAGCAGCTCAGCCAGCGCTGCCTGGGCTGGAGCCCCCGCCCCCAGCCCCTGGTCCTCACTGAGCCTTGGAGCCCTAACTGGTGGCTCTCGCTCTGCCTGGCTTCCAGGGCCCCTGACCCCACTGTCCTGTCGCCCTGCCAGGCCCTGCCCTGGGCGAGGAGGCCCTTCCTCAGGCGGGTGAGCCTCTGTCACCCACCGCCCAAGCTCTGCTTCCAGCCCACAGCCCTCTGCCCTTCTGGGTCAGCCTGCAGCCAAGGCACTGCCTGGTCCCCACCCCCGCCCGGACCCCCTCCATGGGAGGCCCTCCCCTCCTCCCTGCAGCCCCCCAGCCCAGCTGCGCCTCTGCACCCAGCAGTCTTTCACACTTGCCCCTTCTCACCCCCTCAGCACCACCCCCCCACACTGCCCCCTCGCTGCTCCAGCTCCTGCCTAGTCCAGAGCCCTCCTGCCGGGTCCTTCCTCAGTCTGGCCCGCTCAGCATGGCTTGGAGCCTGGCACTGGCCTTGCAGCCTTCTGCATGGTGTCAGTGCCCCGGACCCCTGTGTGGCCCCTCACTCAGCCCAGGGCCCTGCCCCACTGTCCCTCCCGCTCCCTGCTCAACCCCCACCTCATCCTGGGCTCCTTTTAGCTCGGGCCCTGCCTTACCCCCGAGCTCCTCCCAGCTCAGCTGCACAAACTCTGCCTGCTGCTCAGCGCTCCCAGCCCAGCGGCGCCCTCTCTCTCAGTGCCCTGCAGGCTCACCCCTCCAGCTGCTCCCCACAGCCTTCTCTGCGCCCCCCAAGCCTCTTCCTGGACATTCAGAGGCACTCAGGCCCCTGTCCCCCAGTCTCTGCCTTTGTCCATCTGAATCCCATTTCTGCCTGCTCTGGCCCGCCCCTTGCCCTGGGCCTCAGCCCTGACCCCAGCTGGGAGCACGAATTCTTGTACTCAGGCTCTAGGGCTCAGCCCAAGGCTGCTGTGTCCTCCCCTAACCTGCACCCTGCCCCTTTTCACCGCGCCCCTGGCCAACAGAGCCCCCTCCACCTACTGCCCTATGACCCCTCTCTACCCACCTGCTCACCCCAGCTCTCCTGGCTCCTGGGCAGCCCTGCCCTCCCACCTGCCCCCTGCTCACCTGCATAGCTCTGCAAGCTCCCACCCAGCTCCTGGGCAGCTCTCTTGCCTCCCGCCTACCCCCTGCTCACCTGCAGAGCTCTGCCAGCGCCCAACAAGCTACTGGGGAGCTCCCTACCCTCCCATATGCCCCCTGCTCACCTGCATAGCCATGCCAGCTCCCACCCAGCTCCTGGGGAGCTCCCTGCCCTCCCATATGCCCCCTGTTCACCTGCATAGCTCTGCCAGCTCCCACCCAGCTCCTGGGCAGCTCCCTACCCTCCCGCCTGCCCCCTGCTCACCTGCATAGCTCGGCCAGCTCCCACCTAGCTCCTGAGCAGCTCCCTACCCTCCTGCCTGCCCCCTGCTCACCTGCATAGCTCTGCCAGCTCCCACCCAGCTCCTGGGGAGCTCCCTGCCCTCTCGCCTGCCCCCTGCTCACCTGCCTAGCTCTGCCAGCTCCCATGCAGCTCCTGGGCAGCATCCTGCCCTCCCGCCTGCCCCCTGCTCACCTGCATAGCTCTGGCAGCTCCCACCCAGCTCCTGGGCAGCTCCCTTGCCTCCCGCCTGCCCCCTGCTCACCTGCATAGCTCTTCTAGCTCCCACCTAGCTCCTGGGCAGCTTCCTGCCCTCCCGCCTGCCCCCTGCTCACCTACATAGCTCTGCCAGCTCCCACCCAGCTCCTGGGCAGCTCCCTGCCCTCCCGCCTGCCCCCTGCTCACCTGCATAGCTCTGCCAGCTCCCACCCAGCTCCTGGGGAGCTCCCTGCCCTCTCGCCTGCCCCCTGCTCACCTGCCTAGCTCTGCCAGCTCCCATGCAGCTCCTGGGCAGCATCCTGCCCTCCCGCCTGCCCCCTGCTCACCTGCATAGCTCGGCCAGTTCCCACCCAGCTCCTGGGCAGATCCCTTGCTTCCCGCCTGCCCCCTGCTCACCTGCATAGCTCTACTAGCTCCCACCTAGCTCCTGGGCAGCTCCCTGCCCTCCCGCCTGCCCCCTGCTCACCTACATAGCTCTGGCAGCTCCCACCCTGCTCCTGGGCAGCTCCCTGCCCTCCCGCCTGCCCCCTGCTCACCTGCATAGCTCTGCCAGCTCCCACCCAGCTCCTGGGGAGCTCCCTGCCCTCTCGCCTGCCCCCTGCTCACCTGCCTAGCTCTGCCAGCTCCCATGCAGCTCCTGGGCAGCATCCTGCCCTCCCGCCTGCCCCCTGCTCACCTGCATAGCTCTACTAGCTCCCACCTAGCTCCTGGGCAGCTCCCTGCCCTCCCGCCTGCCCCCTGCTCACCTACATAGCTCTGCCAGCTCCCACCCAGCTCCTGGGCAGCTCCCTGCCCTCCTGCCTGCCCCCTGCTCACCTGCCTAGCTCTGCCAGCTCCCACCCAGCTCCTGGGGAGCTCCCTACCCTCCTGCCTGCCCCCTGCTCACCTGCATAGCTCTGCCAGCTCCCACCCAGCTCCTGGGCAGCTCCCTGCCCTCCCGCCTGCCCCCTGCTCACCTGCATAGCTCTGCCAGCTCCCACCAGCTCCTGGGGAGCTCCCTACCCTCCCGCCTGCCCCCTGCTCACCTGCATAGCTCTGCCAGCTCCCACCCAGCTCCTGGGGCGCTCCCTGCCATCTTGCCTGCCCCCTGCTCACCTGCCTAGCTCTGCCAGCTCCCATGCAGCTCCTGGGCAGCATCCTGCCCTCCCGCCTGCCCCCTGCTCACCTGCATAGCTCGGCCAGTTCCCACCCAGCTCCTGGGCAGCATCCTGCCCTTCCGCCTGCCCCCTGCTCACCTGCATAGCTCTGCCAGCTCCCACCCAGCTCGTGGGCAGCTCCCTACCCTCCCGCCAGCCCCCTGCTCACCTGCATAGCTCTGCCAGCTCCCACCTAGCTCCTGGGCAGCTCCCTGGCCACCCGCCTGCCCCCTGCTCACCTGCATAGCTCTGCCAGCTCCCATCCAGCTCCTGGGCAGCTCCCTGCCCTCCCGCCTGCCCCCTGCTCACCTGCATAGCTCTGGCAGCTCCCACCCTGCTCCTGGGCAGCTCCCTGCCCTCCCGCCTGCCCCCTGCTCACCTGCATAGCTCTGGCAGCTCCCACCCAGCTCCTGGGCAGCTCCCTGCCCTCCCGCCTGCCCCCTGCTCACCTGCATAGCTCTGCCAGCTCCCACCCAGCTCCTGGGCAGCTCCCTGCCCTCCTGCCTGCCCCCTGCTCACCTGCATAGCTCTGCCAGCTCCCACCCAGCTCCTGGGCAGCTCCCTGCCCTCCCGCCTGCCCCCTGCTCACCTGCATAGCTCTGGCAGCTCCCACCCAGCTCCTGGGCAGCTCCCTGCCCTCCCGCCTGCCCGTGCTCACCTGCATAGCTCTGCCAGCTCCCACCCAGCTCCTGGGCAGCTCCTGCCCTCCCGCCTGGCCCCTGCTCACTTGCGTTGTTGTCCATAAAGTTTCTGCTGTAGCCCCTGCCCCTTCTTCCCTAAGGTCCCCTCCCTACAAGTCGATGAGCTCCACCTGCACTGCGTGTCTCCCCACAGCTGCCGCCGGGCCTCCTGCCCCGCCCAGAGCCCTCAGCCCAGTAGCTCCACTCCCAGTCTCATTCCTTCCCGGCCGCTCTGGGCTTTTCTCCCTGGAGCCTCCAGCCGCCCGCCCTCTCTCTGGCCAGCTTGTCCCCTATAGCCTCTGCCCACCCGGCCCTGCCCCAGAGCAGACCCCTCCTCACTCTCCCCACTGGGAGCCCCTCTGGGCCTTTGCTCTTTCCAGTTGCTGGTCAGCTGCCTGTGCCCAGCAGCTGCTGGACCTGAGCCCTGGACCCTGTCACCTGCCCACACCCATGGAGCTGCCGGCTCTGCCTCTGACTCAGCCCATTGGCCTGGACAGGCCCCTCAGGCCCCTGGGGGTCCGCTTCCTCCGCTGCACCACGCCAGCCGCCACCCTGCTTCCCCAGCTCAGACCACTGTGCATCCAGGTGTGGTCCTGCCATGGCTGCCCCCACCCTGCCCTCTGGCACGGGAAGCCCTGGGCTCCTGCCCTCCCGCTCGCTGCGTTTCTCTCAGGCCCTGGCCCAGCTGCTAGGGTCATTATCTGGGTCCCAGCGGGCCTGGTCTCCCCTCAGCTCCTGGGGCCAGTTCCATTCTTCCCCCCCCCCAGCCCTGCTCTGTGGGGATCTCACTCACCACGGGCGGGGGCTGGGGAGGCAGTGCCCCCAGCCTGACTGCTCTTGTCCCCACTGCATGTGGCTCCTGGTGGCTGTGGCTGTGCCCACAGCCCCACGTCCAAGGTGTTGGTAGCTGGGCCCCTGAGATGTGAACTCCCCCACCCCCCTCACCCCACCCCAGCCCTGCGAAGACTAAGAACGGGATTGAAACTGGTGCAGGGCTCGCTTCCCGAAGTTCCCTTTTTTCTGGGTGGTTTCTCTGTCAAGGGGCCAGGGGGAGTCCAGATGTGGCTGCGGGCCCCTCACGTGGGTGTGTGGGGTGGGTGAGGCGGGCATCCAGGGCCCAGGGGACAGAGTGAGAACCTGCTGTCATGTGCTCTGCCCCCCTTGGGGCTGGGCTCTCCCCAAGGCCCCTGGCTTCCCCAGCCTCGTTGGCACCTTTCCCTGCCCCTGCAGCACGGGTGTGGGCACAGGTCACCAGGTCACAGTCAGCAGCCCAGCCCAGGCTCCCCATCCACCCACTGGGTAGCTTCCAGGAGCCAGCTGTCCTCAGGGCCCTGCCTCTGCCCTCCTT